GGCATAGAGAGGAAAAAAATTTTTGTAAAAAAAAAAAAAATAAATAAATAAATAAATATTAAAAAATAAAAGAAAAAATACTTAGATCAAGGTTTGATCTAGTTCAGTGCCAGGGTTAGTGTTTGGGTCAAGGTCAGGGTCAAAGGTTAAGGTCAAAAGGTCAGGGTCAAAGGTCGGGACTTTTAAAATAAATTGGCGTTAGTGTTAGTGTGTTTTAGGTAAAAAAATAGACAAAAACAAAATGTGCACTATTGTTTCTGGGCTGTACTACGGGTACAAACAACAAATAACATACACATATTTGGTATCGCTGCGATTGTCAAGAGCTGGAAAATTTATTTGGGGTTGTTCTTTGGTGGTAGGTTATTGTAGTTTTAAGAAACTCACAGCTAAATAAAAAAAATTTTTTTTTTTTTAATAATTTGGGCCAGTTTTCCTTTGATAATAAAAAAATAATCAGGAGATATCCATTACCATTTGCCACGAAATGAAAGACCGATTTGTCCTGAAAAAAACCAAGGTATAAGTCACCTGGATGTACAAAATAGCTGTGACGATATGTACTGTTTTACTAACACATGTCAATGTTGCAAAATTGTGCTTAGGCATTTTGATTTGTTTTACCCTTAGGCATGAAGGGGTTAAAATTGATTTTATTAAAAGTACTAATAAATATATGTTTAATTCATTCAACTATTTATACTTTAATTCTTGAGAGTAGGTGCGTAAATTGGAGCAGGCAGGTAAGGGCCCCAAAGCATTATTTTGCCCAGGGGCTCATGATGCTGTTTAGACGGCCCTGCTTGGTCATGATGGCCCCTATTTGGGCCCTTCTTATAATGGGGAGACAGCACTCTGCCCGTTTTTTTTAATTGTGCCCCTGCATTGTTACCCTCTCTCACAGGTTATTAATGGAGACAACTGTCCACTGTTTTCTTTGTCAGGAAACCTGAGAAATGCCATGCAGCCATTGCCCAGTGTTGTCTGGTTATAGCCATGGACAAGAGCAGGCTGGTCGCACTGTAACAGCTCTGCTATATGTGTGTGGCCTGGAGATGAAGCTGACAGATGACCCCACCACTCACTACAAGAGGCATTGTCCAAGATAACAGAGACAATCTGTGAACTGTCACATTAACCTGTCTCCCTACAAGTGACCCTGTTTTGGCCTCAAATTTTACCAAACAAATCTCAGTAACATGAATCCTCTTCCTACCTTCAGTATGTACATTAAAATCCCAGCTCTGTCTATTGATCTGATAAAAGTAATGTTTCATATTGAACATACTGCCAGAAGATACAAGGATCAAGTAGGCTCAAAGATCATGTCTAGCCAAACAGCTAAATACACCTATATAAACTGTATTGCTTGTTTATTGATTTGTAGTTCTGTTCAGTTAGTCTTGTGATTCACATCCCTTGCCAGACAGAACTGCCAAGAGGAAGGAACCACTATTCGCTATTGCCCTCCTCGTCTGTTAATTAGACTAGAAATGAAAATCAATATTCTGTCCTCTCCTCCTACTGATCACCTCGCCCTCTATTTCCCAGTGCCTGAAACATGGCAGTATTCTGAATTGCAGCAGATTAGTTAACACCATAGCAAGGGTGGACTGACCATTTGGAAACTCGGGCACTGCCCGAGGGCCCAGGGTCAGTAGGGGGCCCCATGAGATGCCCCTGGTACCTTTTTCATAGGCTTTTTTGAGTTTGGTCAAGGACACAGGGGCCCCATGATCCCCTATTGCCCAGGGGCCCCATGAGTTGTCAGTCTGCCCCTGCACCATAAACAGAGGTGTATTTACCACAAGGCAAACAAGGCATTTGCCTAGGGCGGCGCCACCCCCCAGAAGAAGGGATACACGTGGTAAGGAAGAAGACCTGGTGAGGCTCCCCCATGGAATCCGATGAGGCTGCATGCTGCTGGAGGGTGTAAACTTCCCGCACAAGGAAGGAAGACACTGGGCTTGGCTCTGGGATGGCCGGCTGCTTTCCGGAGAGCCTAAGGTTAGTGTTTGGCAGCAGCGAGGGCTAGGAGGGGGTTTGTTGGCAGAGAGTGGCGGTGGAGGTGGGGCCCAGGTGGTGGTGGGGGGCAACCAATTTTAGTGTTGCCTAAGGCAGCACAAGAACTAAATACTCCACTGACCATAGAGACCCTCACACTTTGCCTATCTATGCTGCGTAGGGGACTGTGAGAAGATAATTTAAAGAAAGATTTCAGACATTTTCAGCAGCAGCATTTAGAAATACATTTAAATATTTCCACTAAATACATACATACATGTACCCATTATGAGAGGCTCCCACCATCCCTGTGCAGAGTTACTGAGTCAGTACACCTGATGTACCCATTATGAGAGGTTCCCACCACATCTGTGATGATTTCAGGAGCCAGTACACCATCTGTACTCATTATGAGAGGTTCCCACATCCCCGCGCAGAGTTCTGTAGTCTGCACACCTGCTGTGCTCATTATAACAGGTTCTCACATCCCCGCACAGAGTTCTGTAGTCTGCACACCTGCCGTGCTCATTGTGACAGGTTCCCACATCCCCGCGCAGAGTTCTGTAGTCTGCACACCTGCCGTGCTCATTATGACAGGTTCCCACATCCCCGCGCAGAGTTCTGTAGTCTGCACACCTGCCGTGCTCATTGTGACAGGTTCCCACATCCCCGCGCAGAGTTCTGTAGTCTGCACACCTGCCATGCTCATTGTGACAGGTTCTCACATCCCCGCGCAGAGTTCTGTAGTCTGCACACCTGCCGTGCTCATTATGACAGGTTCTCACATCCCCGCGCAGAGTTCTGTAGTCTGCACACCTGCCGTGCTCATTGTGACAGGTTCCCACATCCCCGCGCAGAGTTCTGTAGTCTGCACACCTGCCGTGCTCATTATGACAGGTTCCCACATCCCCGCGCAGAGTTCTGTAGTCTGCACACCTGCCGTGCTCATTATGACAGGTTCCCACATCCCCGCGCAGAGTTCTGTAGTCTGCACACCTGCCGTGCTCATTATGACAGGTTCCCACATCCCCGCGCAGAGTTCTGTAGTCTGCACACCTGCCGTACTCATTGTGACAGGTTCCCACATCCCCGCACAGAGTTCTGTAGTCTGCACACCTGCCGTGCCCATTGTGACAGGTTCCCACATCCCCGCGCAGAGTTCTGTAGTCTGCACACCTGCCGTGCCCATTGTGACAGGTTCCCACATCCCCGCGCAGAGTTCTGTAGTCTGCACACCTGCCGTGCTCATTGTGACAGGTTCCCACATCCCCGCGCAGAGTTCTGTAGTCTGCACACTTGCCGTGCTCATTGTGACAGGTTCCCCACATCCCCGCGCAGAGTTCTGTAGTCTGCACACCTGCCGTGCTCATTGTGACAGGTTCCCACATCCCCGCGCAGAGTTCTGTAGTCTGCACACTTGCCGTGCTCATTGTGACAGGTTCCCACATCCCCGCGCAGAGTTCTGTAGTCTGCACACCTGCCGTGCTCATTGTGACAGGTTCCCACATCCCCGCGCAGAGTTCTGTAGTCTGCACACTTGCCGTGCTCATTGTGACAGGTTCCCACATCCCCGCGCAGAGTTCTGTAGTCTGCACACCTGCCGTGCTCATTGTGACAGGTTCCCACATCCCCGCGCAGAGTTCTGTAGTCTGCACACTTGCCGTGCTCATTGTGACAGGTTCCCACATCCCCGCGCAGAGTTCTGTAGTCTGCACACCTGCCGTGCTCATTGTGACAGGTTCCCACATCCCCGCGCAGAGTTCTGTAGTCTGCACACTTGCCGTGCTCATTGTGACAGGTTCCCACATCCCCGCACAGAGTTCTGTAGTCTGCACACCTGCCGTGCCCATTGTGACAGGTTCCCACATCCCCGCACAGAGTTCTGTAGTCTGCACACCTGCCGTGCTCATTGTGACAGGTTCCCACATCCCCGCACAGAGTTCTGTAGTCTGCACACCTGCCGTGCTCTTATGAGAGGTTCCCACATCCCCGCGCAGAGTTCTGTAGTCTGCACACCTGCTGTGCTCATTATGACAGGTTCTCACATCCCTTCTGGGTTTACAGTGTATTTATTTTATATTATGGACAATATAACAGGAAGAGTTGGAACACCCAAAACTTGCAGTTGGACAGGCAAAGTGCTGGGATTAAGGGCCTCTTTGGACTTTTGCATCGTGGTAACCCACATTTTACTGCAATACACGGTCATGTGTTGCAGTGTGATTCATTTTGAATGGCACCCCCAATGTAAGAAGGCTTTGCAGTGCATTGCAATGCATACTAGTATGTTTCGGTGCATAATGAAAAAAGATCACTTCTGAACATTAGGGTGCATTGGCAGCATGTTTAATTTATTGGGCTGCCTTAATGCACTGCAAGTTAACGCATGACATAACTCATGCAGACATTTCTGTTGGAATATTCAAGACAAATGATAAGCCAGGGGCTGGCTCAGCCCACCAAGATCCAATTCTACTTAAAATATCACCTTGAAGTGGTTGTAAACCCTCACATATACCCAGTGAAGTGACTGGTGTCAGATGATACACAGAGATTAAACAAATCCCCATACATAAGTTGTACCTGTTTATCTACATCAATTCAAAGTTCTGAATTTGTAAAACTTGTCTGAGAGTTCTGAGAATTGGATTTACACACGGGCAGAGCTCAGTGAGGAGAGCTGTGAGAGCTGATTGGAGGGAAGGGACACACCCCCTCCAATCACAGAAACATGAAGCTGAGTCTGTCAATCTGCTGGAGGTCACTCTCTTGTCACCATTTTTTTTCTTGGTGTCAGGAAAACTTGTCAGACGTGATTCATGCTGATTGCAGAGGAACAAAGCAGCAGACAGAAATGACACTTAGTCACCGGTCACACTGCTGCGCTATAAATCACACAATTTGTGTGCAATTTCTGAAGACTTTATTGGGACTTGTGAAGATTTTCAAGGATTTCTTGTGATTTGCATTGCAATTTCCATTATACTCTATGTATGTGAAATCACATTAAACTGCAGAAAAAGTAATGCCAGAACTATTTTAGAAACTGCGCTGCAGAAAATCGCACATGTTAAGACACTGACATTCACATTCATTAGAGATTTGAGGTGTGATTTCAATTTGCTAATCGCACCTGAAATTGCACCGGTATGACCGGGCACTAACCCCCGGTTCACATATATGGGCCGCGTTTTGCACGGGCACGAGAGCCCATTCATTTGAATGGACTCCAGTGCCCGTAACAAGCAGGGAAGAAGTCCCTGCACTTCTTTTGAACACCTTGGTTCCCAGCACGGTTGCATTTTCCAGTGCGGGCGGTGTGCCATTAGAACTAATGGCACCCACCAGCGGGTCCGCATTTCTCTGTGGGGGTCGCTGCACGGATTTTTGTGCGGATCCGCAGCGGCACCACCCGCACAGATGTGAACCTAGGGTTAGTGCTCTTATTTGAAACAAGTACACACTATAGGGGGATATGCTTTGTTAGAGTAGCACCCTCCTAGTCTAGGATGTGTATAGTGAGGTTAAGAATAGCTGTGGTTGTCAGGTACATTCATTGTGTATTCTGCTTAACAGAGTGCTGTGATTGATGAGTTAGGTGTTGGAGTTTGAGTTCTGCCCTGCCTTCAGGTTGTTATGAGAGCCTTCCAGATCATGAGTAGGGGCTAGGCAAATGAACAGCATGAATATAGGTACAGCCCTGGCCAACTGCAGGGGAAGGCAGTCCCACCGCATGCTTGGAGTGGTTTTTATGTTCTAGGAGCACATGGGTTCAGGGTCTTTTCCAGGAGTGGATTGCACCAGCCAGGCTGGAGGCATGTTGCCTCACCTGGCAACTGCTGCCATGTGGCCTCTGGTGGGTCGACCTGAGGGCCTGAAGCTAGAGTGAGAGAGACCCTGATCTTGCAGGAAGCTGACTGAGAGGAGTTGTCTGTCAAAGCTTTGTCTGGTATCACTGGATGGTTTCGCTTGGAAGATTGGAAGGAGGCATCCACTTTATCCTTGGACCTTGTGAGTACTGACATTGAGGAACTTTGGGACGCTGTGTGCTTCCTACCTCCCCTGGAGTTTGATAGTCAGCGCGGGTCTAGAGCAGGGGTCTCCAAACTTTCTAAACAAAGGGCCAGTTTACCGTCCTTCAGACTTTAGGGGGGCTAGACTGTGCCCAGTGGGAGTGAACAATGTCCTATCTTTTGTTCCCCATCGTTGGTGTCACTCGGAGGAATAGTGTCTCCTCACTGGTGTCAGTAGAAGGAAAAGTGCCTGACTGTTGCTGTCAATAGGAATGATAGTGCCCTGTGGTTGATGGCAGTGGCAGGAATTATGCCCCATCGTTGATGTCAGTGGGAGGAAAATGCCTCAAGGGCCATATATAGGCAAGAAAAGGGCCACATCCGCCCCCGGGCCACAGTTTGGAGACCACTGGTCTAGAAAAAAGGAATACTGGCTAGTGTTCTGAAGAGTCCAAATGCTACAACTGCAAAGGACCTTTCTCAGCTACGTTACCTTTGGGCTGTTGCAGTCTGTCGTAACTGGCTCATAGTTGAGGAGCTCAGCCCTGTAACTACTACTACTGCTAAAGGGACTTTGCTCACTCCTAAACTACTTGCTGCTATATGTTTCAAAGGGAAGTCTGCTGTCTACAGTCAGTCAAGATTTCTACAGTGTTCAACTATGGGCTTATGTACACTGCAGCTGACAAGGTTTAGGAGCTGTTCAGCGTTGTTTTCAGCAGCCCCTGAACTCTCTCTAATGTTTTCCTATATGTCCATGTACACATCTTCATTTACAGTTGTTTACAGGCATTTGAGTTTACAGTCATTTTTTTGAACACAGAAAACTGCGTTCAGCAGTCGATTTTATCAGCGTTTCACACGCAAAACGCTTGTAAACGTGGCAAATCGCGTTTATAAGCGTTTGCGTCTGAAAATTTTTTTAACTCTTCCAGTTCCCAATGCTGTCCAGAGCCTTTTTTTTCATCATGAAAAATCATGCAAAGCGTTTTCAAGGTACGCGGATGGACAAAACACTGAACACAGGATGTTCCTATCAAGCGCCTCACACGCGAAATGACCAATTCACACCTCAGACCTCTCCCACCCTTGGAAACAAATGATATGTTAATGACCATTCACACCTCGAATTCCTCATGAAGACCCCCTGCCAGGTGACCTTAATGACTCACTCCACCAGACACCTTTCCCACCCTTGGAAACAAAAGAAATGTTAATGAGCAACTCACACCTAAGCTAATCTCAACACATCCTGCTATCTCTGCTTCTACTCTCTGTATTTCTCTGAAAGAGTCTGAAATAGTTAATTATTTACCACTTTTCAGTGCATTCTGGGCATTTGGGAGGTTCTCCTGTTCTTATCTTTAAAAAATGCTTGTAAACGCAAAATCACATAAACGCGTTATGCAAATGCAGCTAAACAGACGTTTTTTAACCTACGTTTTCCAGCAGTCAGTTCCATCGTTCAGAAGTGTCCCATGTACATGGGGCCTAAGAAATCAGCTAGATGTCCTCAATGTGAATAGTTCTGCTTTGGAGTATCCTACTACATTCCCCATCCCTATCCCCAGTTGTGCAATAAACTCCATAAACAACACATCCCCTAGAAAATGAGTTGAAGTGTGAGTGAGTGTATATGTCTGCATAAATACACTCTGCCTGGTTGCAGGGCGAAGAAAAGGGAAACCAGGCAACAAACAAGCGGCTCCTGCGGGGGTAGCGCTACATTCATATTTCATGTCTGAGGTTTAAAACCACTTTAAGGTGGACAGATCCTTTAACTAGCACAGGGATTACAGAATACATTTCAGGATAAATTATTTATTAGGTTTGTTGTGCTAAAAGCATGCTTCATTCACACATGAACACACTTGTCTATCAGGAAACATATCCAGATTGTCAGTGTGTATGATCTGTAAGATAAAGGTTAGTACTGGCCATACATGTAAAAACTGTTGAGAAGAATTGTATCAATAAAAGGAAAATCAATGTGAATAGGGGTACATAGATCCTTTTTTATATAGTGCCGAACAATAGCACGATACACGATCGTTGGCTATAAACTGAATCAGTAATTGCCTCTTTATTGTTCTGTGTATGACCGCCATAAGCCACTGGCAGAATGTGAAGGACATGCACTGTACATCTTAGTAGTTTCTCAGGATAAAGAGGCCTATTCATGAAAAGCGCACAGTATTTCAGGAATTTGCAAATGTTTAGCTGTGTTCTAGGGCTGCACATTTCAGTGTTATTCTTAAAGCCCACGTGTGTGGGACTTCACACGCACAGATAATACTACGCAATTGTTCCACAACAAAGACCTATATTCCTTGAAAGCAGTAATGCAGAATGGTGCAAACAAACATCTGCAAAATAAACTCTCTGTACAATTCTGCCAAGTTTTGTGTGACAAGTGACAGACTAATATAAGAAGTCTAGAATGACAGAAGAATATAAGAAGGGTCAAAACATTATGGTCCTAAAGCTCAACTCTGGGAAACATGAAAATTCTCCCTTGCAGTGGGTCTAGGGGACATAGTAAAGAAGATTGACTTACCTGATCCTCCGCGTGTAAGCAGGTGCTTACAATGTCAGCTGTGATCTTTACTAACAGGTTGTCCAGTGACTCAGGTGTTGATGTGCTGTCATGTATCTGCCGTTTTGTCCTGCGATGCTTCCTGTAGTGGGGATCAGGGGCGTATTTACCACAAAGGCAAACAAGGCATTTGCCTAGGGTGGCATTTTTTCAGGGGGGCAGCGCCTCCCCCCAAAATTAGGGACACACACAGCATGGGGATCAGGTGGGATCTGAGAGAGGCTGCAGGCTGCTTGATGGTGTATGCAGAGCCTGACTTTTGTTCCCGGGGATGTCCGGAGCTGTGAAGGTGAGTGTCTTCTCTCTCACCTGGGTGGGTGGGGGTTGTCAGTGTATGGGGGATGGAGGTAGTGGAAGGCTCTCTCGGGTGGGGATGAGGAGAGGGCTGGGGTGTTGTTGGTCAATGTCAGGCTCTCTTTGTGGGGAGGGTGTTTGTTGGTCGGTGTCAGGGTCTCTCCATGGGGGGGGGGGGGGGGGGGGAGCCGATTTTTGTGATGCCTAGGGCAGCACGAAACCTAAACACACCACTGGTGGGGATATACTGCATATTTATAGTTGTTGGTAGTTTGTTGGTCATGGAGTTGGAAAGGCCATATACCTGAGTTGTAGAGTCACACTTAGAGTGGGGTTACCCTGTGGCAGGACCCTAATGCAAGACTGTAAAGTTGGATCCATGTCAGTACCAGTTGGAAATGACTCCATCTAAAGGTATGAGCACCACAGCCTATCCCAAGTCCAGCAAGTGATGTACATTAAAAAAAGCAGTATAGTTATGTTTGCTAGCAGGTTGCATTGTCCATGTCACTACTGGAGTACTACAATGTGGAGAGGAAAAGGAACTGTTCTTATTACACCATTTTATTCAAGTGAAGACGTTCTGATTTAGTAACAAAGTGTGAATGGTAATGGGGAATGAAGGGCTAACCTTCATGTTAACCTTCAGGGTCATGGAGGGTAAGAAGTAAAGGGAAGGAGGAGCAGTCATCTTTGGCGAGGTGGTGGTGGGTGATGGAGGTTCCATTGGAGGGGTGGATGAGTGGCTCTATGGTCTACTTTTCAAAGCAGCAAGGTCCCTTAGTTAGGGCCTACTGCATAACAGAACCCTCTTAGGCACTGGGCCTGGACCCTGGGTGTGCAAAGTATATATAGGGTTATATAGGCATTTGATGCAAATAAAGTGGATTTATATGCCTTTTGTCTATTCCGCAAAATATTTTAATTTAAGTTTTTGTGCCTGGATTTCAGCTTTAACATAAAAAATTATATGTGATGCTAGATGCATTTTAACAGACACTCTGATATTATCATTGTAAATAATATGACATAATTGTTTTTATCATTATAGATATGAAGAGGAATTTTCTCAGCGTTTAGCTCTTCAGGACCAGTTGTGGGAGCTGACCCATCACATAGATGATATAAAACAGATACATATGAAGGTGAGGAGTCATGTGACACCTTTTTATCCTGTAAGGTCATTGTAGATTGACTTCACGGGGCAGCACAGTGGCTAAATGGTTAGCA